TACAGTTTAGGAAATTGTTGAATCTGTTAGTGTACTGCTCCTCAGCTTGGGAAACAAAGTTTTTCTCAATTTACCTTTTAACAAGAGTTAAAGGTTTCATTTACGTTTAGTAAACAAAGCATTTGCCTTAAATGAGCAAAATAAAATGTTTTAATTGATAGTGGTCAAATTTGTTAAAGCCAAAGTAAATTAAAAATCAGATCATTGTACTAAAGCTGTGTGGAGTATAGCATTTGAAATAATATAAAATATGGGATAAGAGTTGTGCTTTTTATAAAAAGAGGCAGTGAGGCTTCTGGTCAAGATGGTGGAATAGATGGTCCCCAGCATCACTCTCTCCCACAAATCAACAAATTTACAACTATTAGAAAGCAACGACAGCCAAGCCGGGGCTGCTAGAGCTCAGGGGAAAAGGAGGAGAGACCTATGGAGTGCATGAAGGCAGGAGAAGCCACCATGAGAGAAAGAAAGAACAGCTCCAACTGTTTCAAGCCCCAGCCGCTTCCAGGCTGGAGCTGGTGAGCTCTAGGAGCAGGAACTGGCAAAAGCTACAGCTATGCCATTTGGATGGAGTTGTTTGGAGGCAGCAGGGGAGAAGAGGGCCTTGGTGGCCCTCAGGCCAGCAGGACCACTGACAGGGTTCGTGTGGACCCACATAGAAGTGAGGAGCCACAATAACTGAAAAAAAGGAGCCACTCAGAGGCTGGTGAGTCATTGCAAGGGACCAGCGCATGGCCTGTCCTATGGGAAGTGTTTGGAGTGGGCAGTAGGAGAGACAGGCCCACCAGGAAAACACTGGGGCACAGCAAGGACAGCTGATCTGCCCCCCAACCAGCACAGGACCACTCAGTAGAGACTGGTCAGGAATATAGAACTGCAGGGAGTGCAGTTTCTGAAAAGACTCGGCCCAGACCAGAGTGTCTATACAACCCAGGTGTACCAGATCAAATGAGACCTGGAAGTACCTATAAAGTCAACCAGTAAAGCCTTCCCCAGGGAATCAACAGCAAAGCAACAATTTAGCTCAAATACAGAGCTCAAGTACTGGTCCCCACAGGAAGTTCCCCCATTTTAGAAGTAAGCAAAAGACAACAAATTAGTTCCAGTGCAGAGTTTAGGTGGTGGAAACAGCAAATAATCCAGCACAGAACTGGAAGAAAAAACAAAATACCCACAACCAGATAAAAAGTTTGATATTAACTAGTAAAGGTCTCATATCACCAAGGAACACCTATAACACCTAGAAGGATCAGAAGCCCCCTGGGCCCCCAAGCCAGAGAGGGGGAGGGCTGGGGGCCTCAGCCATGCCCCCCAGCACCCACAACCAGCCCAGTGATGACCACCAAGCCACTCCAGGAAGTGCCCTGGGCTCCTGTGCTGGGGTGGGCAGAGGGGGGGGGGGAGGTGAGGGCTTCAGCCACACTCTGACATCTGCACTGAGCCCAACAATGACCAAACCTCTGCTGGAAGCCCCCTAGTCTCCCCTGCAGAAATGAGGGAGGTGCTGTAGGCCTCAACCCTGCTCCTCCTCCCTCCTGCTTCCACCCTCCTGCTTCCACCCTATTTCCTTCTCTGTTCCCCCTCCCCTCAACTGCTCTGCAACAATGTCATAGAATGTAAAAAAAAAATTTAATAAACTTTAAAAAAAGACAATGACTTCAAATAATTGATATTTAATTAATATTTAAATTAATTATCAGCTGGATAGTAATCAGATGCCTGCCCAAATAGACTTACAGGGTTGGGACTGCTCTCTTCTCACTAGGTTGACATTTCTGATTTTTTGATATTTCAGTAGTGTTATTCACAAGCTGTATTTAACATGAAATGGCAAAGGTCACCAGTAATTGTTCTTTCACAGTTGTCTGGCTTTGCTGAGTCATTGCAGTACAGACCTCTATACCAAGTGCTGACAAGAATAGACACACAAAAGGAAAATAAAAAAACCTGAGAGCCGGAGCAGAAAGAGCTCAGAACTCTGAAGTGTGTTCACAGCTCTGCCGTATTTAGCTGCGTGACCTTGCGGGAGTCACTGTCTTCCAAGGCCCTGGGTTTCTCATGCTTAAAATAAGATTTCTAGGACCGCTTGCTGAAGTTAGGTCAACTCTAGAGTATATTATCCACAGAAAGAGACAGGAGACGAAGAATTTTCAGGGGACAGTGATTTGTGATTTATGTAATTATAGTAGCTTTCTTGACTGCTGGAAAACAGCAGTGGCAGATGAGTCAGCCTTGGGAGTCAGTGATGCTTTGTTCAAAAATCAAAACAAAATAAGGAAAAAACAACAAAAACCTGACTACAGCACAAAGTTAGGTCAGGTGACAGTGGTCAGAGTAATGCTAAGTTCTGACAACAGCAGCTAGCATCTTGTACAGAGGACAGTATCGAGGGGATAGTGGTCAGGAATTGTTTTTCCCAGCCGAACCTCCATGTCAGCTTTCCCGAGGGAATGTGCTCATTTGGGAGACCCTGATGGTATAATATCACCACCCAGTAAAAATCCACCCCGAACGGAGAAGAGGCAGGTGGTATTTTGAACCTTCTTCCTCTGCCTGGTTGGTTTCTCTGAGGATAGACATGAAAGGGATGTTTGAGACAAATGAATGTCCTATGTTAGAAGCTTTAGCTGCAGCCCCCCCAGTGACGTGGCTTGGATTAAGCATGAGCTTCTCTAAGGACAGGCAGAACTGAGCCACCCATCCACCCCCTTCCCTGGACCCTTTCCTGGACTCTTCCAATGGCCAGAGAAGCAGGGAGGGAATTCCCCTTTCTCTCTAGCCTGGACCAGACCTTGCCTAATCTGTGTAGTCTCTGCATCCCTCCACAGTCCAGCGTGGCCTGCTGCAGGCTGCTGACCCCTGGTGTGATAGGAAGAGGTTAGGTTGGGAGTCAAGGTAGACCTCTGAATCCCAGCCATGCCACATCCTGGTTGCAAAACTTGGGGAAAGTTCCTTAGCTCGGGCAGTAAGTGCAGTAGCGTTAATCATTGTCTTATCCTCAAGAATTATATTTTACTCTCAAGCCCTATGAAAATTCTCTCGGAGGAGAGCAGGCGAAGCTGGAGCAGGAAAATAGACATTGAAGCCTCCCTCTCTCCACCCCTCAGCCCCAAGAGTGAGTGGTAAGCACCAGAGGCCAACTGGATCTCACAGACACAGGCCTCTGGAACAATGATTTTCAAAGTCTGTAAGCCACAATCTACCTTTAAAAAATGTTACAAAAGGAACTTTAATATGTGAAGTGAGTAAAAGTAGGCTTTTATTTATGAAAATATGCTTAAGTTGAAATTTATAATAAACCTAATAACAAATGAAGCAATTTTGATTAGCACAGAAATTTGATATAGAAGAGATGATAGATGACTGGTATGGCCTTTTCCTTAGAATATGCAGATAAATATAAATAGTAATTTTTTAACAGTTTTCTTTCCAATCTAATGATACTGGTCAATTATAGAAAAAAGATGGATGATTTGTTATGCCAAAGCTGCCCCAAATATGTAGATTAGAATGTATTTGTTTACATGCACAGATAAGAATGAACTTATAAATTATTGCATTTTTAAAAATTGCTTATAAATTTAAAGAAAATGTTAAAGCATCTAAACACTTACATAGAATCCCAGGGTTTGGCAGGCGATTACTTGAAATACACTCCCTTTAGATCTTGCTGCACCCAAATCTCAATTTGCTTTCCTTTCCTATTTGGTTGTGGTGTGTATATGTTGGTGTACAATTTTCAGTACTATATGCTATTTGGCCTAAAAACTGGTGAAATCTGAGTAAGGTCTGTAGTCTGGGTGACAGTACTGTAACAGTGCTGATTTATTGGATTTGATATTGTACTATAGTTATATGTCACCACTGTGAGAAGTTATGTGAAGGGTACATGAGACTCTGTACTATTTTTGCAACTTACTCTGACTCCATAATTATTGCAGAATTAAAAAGAAGAAAAAGTCATTTGAAAATGATATTCTTTTACTTAATTGTTAGGAGGGGTGCAACCAGATTAATAGAGCAGTGTACCCACCAGACAGAGTGAATTTCCATTTAGCTAACCTTTTAAAAATAAATAAATAATAAAAACGCCTTTTCTTTCCTTGCCACTGAATTCTATATACTCTACACTCACTCTGTCAGCTACTGTGACACTGTTGAATCTTCGGGAAGAAAACACAGACAATGGCAAATCAAGGAGAGAAATCTATTTTAGCTGCTGCTTGATTACTTAATAAGAAAATGGTGAAAGCCAAGAGTTCAGGGTGCAGTCACTGGATACAGAAAAAGGTAGTGATGTACCATGTTTTCTGAAGCATTTCTATGCTTAAAATGTTTAGTAATTAGACTAAAGCAATGTCAACATGCTGCGATATCATCATTATGTGACTTGGTGACCGTATCATAGTACCTATAGCCTCTTGTGATGGGACAGTGTGATGAATGTTATTCTACAGGAGAAAAGATAAAGGGTTAAAAATATTTTTAAAAGAATAAACCTTTGATCCTTTCACTTCCTTATTGTAAAAATGGGCATGGCAAGTAAAAATGGGCATGGCAGTAGCGAAATACAGTTCTCCGTTCCCTTGTATTTTACAGTGTGTTATAAACTACTGCCATGGACATTGATGAGACTGATGGTGGTTTTGCTCTTCATCACTTAAAACAGAAACAAAACAGAATTCCCTGTGCCAGCCTATCTGTTTTCATTGTAATTGCCAAAAAGTTCAGGTTCCAGACTAACGTGAAAGAGTGACTTGCCTCATGGGTTTTGACTAGAACGAATCAATGGAATTGATCATATCTATCGGATATCTGTGAAGGTGGACTGAGCTCAAAACAACTTCTTTAGTAAATGTTTTAATGGGTGTTAATATAATTCCATTTTTAACAAGTCCATTTATTCAGGAACATAAAATTCTAAGACCATAAGGTCCTTTGCATTAAGTAGGGCTTTAGTTTTGCGTCCATTGTGGAGACTGCCTTGGCTGACCTTTGAGATGGGAAATAAGCCCTCAGCTTTCTGGAAATCCCTCTGCCTGACCAGCCTTTCTGGCTTCTTCCCCAGGGTTATCAATGCTGGGAAGAGCACACACAATGAAGACCAAGCCAGCTGTGAGGTGCTTACCGTGAAGAAGAAAGCAGGGGCCATTACCTCAACCCCAAATAGGAACTCATCCAAGAGACGGTCCTCCCTTCCCAATGGGGAAGGGCTGCAGCTAAAGGAGAACTCGGTAAGACCCCTCGTTATCCTGGGCTTTCAGGTGAGAGGAATGGCACATACTTCTCTCCACTGGAAAATGTTACAGGTTAGACCAGGTCTGGAATGGAAGTGAGAAAAGCAATGTACCTATAGTTTGTGGGGTGGTGGACCTATAATCAGGTGTCACACAAGCCAAAGATGATGCATGTATGAAGAGCTGGTGTTGATGTATGTAGCACCTGAAGTAAATAAAACACATACATTATATATAGATTTTGTTATTAGAATTTATACATGTGTGTGTGTATATATACACACATATATATACATCTATCATGATATATATATATATATATATCTCATGTTTAGTGGGTTCAAAGAAGCCACTTCTAGGTCTTTGTGAAGGAAATGGTCTGGAACCCCCTCATAAAGAGTGGAAATAACTCCAGCTATTGGCTTCGAGCCCTGCTGTGACTTTGTGCCTTTCTTCCCCTTGCCTGTCCTTTGTGGTTGTCCATTTGGAGTCAGTACCAGGAGTGCTTCCAAATTAATATTTGTTTCAATTGGCGCAAAGCCCTTGCAGCCCCTGGGGTGGCCCTGCAAACTCAATACACTATTGACCAACCACAAAGCATTTCTCCTCTCTCCAGTTTCTGGAGAATAAAGTGGACATATCCTCAGAGAGTTCTGAAGAAACCCTTGGAAAAGGACAGGGAATAACTGGCACTCTATTAGCAGATTATTTCTATGGAGAGGTGTTTACTGAGAAAATCAGGAGATATTGAATGGGATGATCCAAATGTGACTATTTATTCTAATAAGCTTGAGGATATTTTTGTATAAAAATTTTATAGTATTTTAAAAGATCTAGCAATCTCTTAGTCTAAGAAATAGTGTCTCGTTACACTCAGGGAATGATTTATTTTGTTAGTCCTGGTTCCGTTTAGAGTTAGAAAACACATTGACCTTTGGGAACTCATCTTGTGCTTGTTTTCAAGGCTGAAAGAAGCATTGTTGGGCCTCTCCCAAGGAGCCAGACTTGAGGACCCAGATGGACACTATAGAGTGATGGTAGCTAAGTGCACAGGCTCTGGAGTAAGATGGCTTAGTACATCTACCACTTATTAGCTATTTATTTCGGGGGTAGTTATTTATTGTTTGAACATCAGTTTTCTCTTCTATAAAAAGGAGTAATAACAGTAGTAACCACCAAATAGTAGAAGACAGCTTGTTGGAAGTATGAAATCCAGTGGTTTGTGGAAAATGTTGACCCAGTGTCTTCATTAATAAATCCTTAATAAGTGTTAGTTAATATCCTAAGGTCAGTCCCACTTCCGTCATTCTCTGTGGATAATGCCCACTGAATTTTGTATGTTTATTCACTTGTGAATCGGAGATTACACAATTTCTTTCATACCTACTTGACAGGATTATTTTGAGGATGAGTTATTATAGGAAAGGGCTCAGAAAATGTGAGGCATTAATGATAATTGAAAATGCATTCCAGTGACTTAATGTTGCTGTTTCCCTGATATTTCTCCCCTGCCACTGGGATACAAAGTGATTTCCATCAAAATAAGTCAGTGTTGACATTTGGCCTAAGGCCAGTTGGTGGTGGCCTTTTTCCTTTTTGCTAAATTCCTCCTAGAAATGGAGCCAAAGGTAACTTTTAAGTTCCTGACCTTAAAAACAGTGAAACTGGTGCATAAGCACTTCAGGATGGAGCTGTGACTCTCCTCTGTGATGGCTCGGAATCTCTCTGGGGTTCGTGCTCCAGGAGCAGCAACAAGGTGCCCAGCACGGTGGACATACCCTGGCCCTCTGTTTCCTGCTTCAGCAGCAACAGCTTCACTTCTATCTGACTTATGTATTAATTAGGCTTATTATTAGAGTGTAAGACAAGAACTATGCTGCTTTTTAAAATTTGTGATAAAATATATGTAACATAAAATTTACCGTTTTAACCATTTTTAGGTATATAGTTCAGTGGCATGAAGTATGTTCGTATATTTGTGCAACCATCTCTGTCATACATCTCCAGAACTTTTTCATATTCCCGAACTGAACCTCTATGTTCATTAAACACTGACTTCCCTTCTCTCCCCTCATCCCTTGGCAACCACTGTTCTATTTTCTGTCTCTATGAATTTGACCACTCTAGGTACTTTATGTAAGTGGAATCAGACAATATTTGTGTTTTCATGTCTGGCTTGTTTCACTTAGTGTGATGTTCTCAGGGTTCACCTACATTGTAGCATGTGTCAGAACTTCCTTTCTTCTTAAGGCTGAATAATATTCCATCTTATGCATATGCCACATTTTGTTTATCCATGCATCTGTTAATGGAAACTTGAATTGCTTTTACCTTTTGGCTATTCTGAATGATGCTATTATGAACATAGGTATACAAATATCTCTTTAAGTTTCTGCTTTCCATTCTTTTGGATATATACCTGGAATTGGAACTGCTGGATCATATAGTAATTCTGTTTAATATTTTGAGGAACCTCCATACTGTTTTCCAAGAGGCTGCACCATTTTACATTCCTACTAGCAATGCAGAAGAGTCCCAGTTTCTCCACATCCTTGCCAACAATTGCTATTCTCTTTTTTATTATATTCATCCTAAGGTATGAGGTGGTTATTTCATTGTGGTTATGATTTGCATTTCTCTAAGGATCAGTGATTTGAGCATTTTTTTCATGTGCAACTTGTTGGCCCTTTACTTGTCTTCTTTAGAGAAACAAGTTCTTGGCCCATTTTTTAATTGAGTTGTCTGCTTTGTTGTTGTTGTTTGTACTGCTTTTTAAAAGCTTGAAAACCATGATCTAGTGTGGAATAGCAATCACTGAGCACTTTCTGGGTACCAGGAAGTAGATGCTGGGGATTCAGCAGGGAATTAAACAGGCAAAGATCCCTACCCACAGGGTGTTTACATTCATAGACGGAGTCAATTAAAATATACAGTGTGCCAGATGATCAACACTATGGAGGAAAACAAAGTGGGGAAGCAGTCATACAGGAGGAATACAGGAAGCAGGAATATGTGAGGTGCCAGGGATGGGTAAAGACGGCATCGCTGAGAAGGTGACATTTGGGCAAAGACCTGAAGTACAGCTATTTGGAGGAAGAGCATTTTAACCTTCTGGGCAATTGCAAAGACCCTGAAGTGGTAGGAGGCCCTGTGTTCTCGGGAATCAGCAAGGAGGCCCCTGTGATTAGAGCAGACATAGAGAAAACCTGAATTGCACGAAATGTTGTCAGAAAGGTCATAGGGGTGGGGTGAAGCTATCTGGCAGGACCTTGAAGGCTAATGTAGGTCTTTGGCTTCTACTTTGAACAGTTTACTAGCAGAGGATACTGGATACACTGGTTAAAAGAGGCCAGTGATTTTTCCCATTGAGAAGATATCCCCCTTATGGTAAAATTCAAATAAAGTAGCGCTTAGGAAAGGGTAGTGAGAGTGTACGGCCTAGGGCAAGAAAACATCTGTGGGAAGCAAGTAAGGCAGACGCCACCCCTGTCCCCCGTGAATCAGTCCCCCCCCCCCCCCCCCCCCCCCCCCCC